TAAATTGATTGCTAGTTATGTTTACTAAATGTGAACATGATACATTCCAGAGCTTAGATATTTCCTTAGATGATCCTTGACATAGTGAGAGATGTACAAGGGAGATATTGACATAGTGAGAGATATGTATGAGGGAGAGCAAACTAGTGTGTAGACAAGTAGTGGAGTGACAAGTGAGTTCTGAGTGACAATGGGCCTACATTAGGGGTCAGCATTGATCTCATATCGCTTTGTTTTAGTTATGGATGAGTTAACTAAGCTCTTACAAGATGAGGTGCCATGGTGTATGTTGTTTGCAAATGATATAGTTTTGATTGATGAGACTAGTGGTGGTGTCAACACAAAGTTAGAACGTTGGAAGGATGCTCTACAACCTAAGACAGAATATATGGAATGCAAGTTTGGTCATATTAGGAGTAGACAATAAAGTAGTTGAGATTGAAAGTCAAGAAATACCTAAAAGAAATAGTTTTTGATATCTAGAGTCGATAATCCAAGATAATAGAGAAATTAAAGACGATGTCGCTCATAGAATTAGAGTTGGATGGACGAATTGGAGATGCGCATCCGAAGTTTTATGTGATTCGCCGCATATCATTGATACTGAAGGGAATATTCTATAGGACGGTTGTAAGATCAGCCATACTTTATGGGACGGAATGTTGGGTGGTCAAGAAACAACAATATCCATATGATAAGTGTAGCTGAGATGAGGATGTTGAGATGGACGAGCAACAAGACAAGAAGGGATAGAATTCAGAATGAATACATACGAGGGAACTTAGGTGTGACTTTAATAGGAGATAAGATGAGCTAAAGTAGGCTTAGCTAGGCTGGCAGTGTGTATTGTAGACCTAATACAACACTTGTTAGGAGTTGTGATTTGGTTTACCTAGAAGGCTCTAAAATGACAAAGGGAAAGCTCAAAAGGACATGGATAGATGTAGTGAGAAAATATATGATGACTATTTGGTCTTATTGAGGGTATGTCGCTTGATAGAGAAGAATAGAAGAATATGATTTATGTAATCGACCCCGAATAATGGGGATAAGGCTTGGATGATGATGATGATTATGATCCTTGACATCCTTGTGTCCCAAATTGTTGTGTTGTGGCATCCTCCAAATTTGGTTGGGCATATTTTTCTGGAATGCCAAAAAGAGCGCACTTTTGATATTTTGGGTCGATAATCCAAGAAAATGTAAAGATTGAGGATAATGTCACACAAAAGAATTAGAGCTGTGTGGGCGAAATGGAGATGTGCGATCGGAGTTTTATATGATCATCGCATACCAATGAAGCTAAAGGGAACGTTCTATAAGACAACTGTGAGATCAGCTTTGCTTTATGGGTGGAATGTTGAGCTGTCAAGAAACAACATTCCCATAAGATGAGTGTAGCTGAGATGAGGATATTGAGATGAATGAGGGTTGAATTTGAAATGAATATATTCGGGAGAGCTTAGGTGTGGCTTCAATAGGCGATAAGATGAGAGAAAGTAAATAGGTGGGTTGGCCATGTGCAACGCAAACCCAGTATAGCACCTGTTAGGAGGTACGAGTTGGTTCAAGTGGAAGGCTAAAAAAGGGCAAGGGATAGACTCTAAAGGACATAGTTGGAGGTAGTGAAAAAAGATATGGAGACATATGGCTTCACTGAGGGTATGACCCTTCATAAAGCAAAATGGCAGACCAGGATTCGTATAGTCAATCCTAAATAGTTGGGAAAAGGCTCTGATGATGATATTTTTATGGAATCTTGTATTATTTTACATTGAATTTAATCGATCACCACTCTTAAACAACTAATGAAATATACATATGTACATGCATGTCAGTGTTTGTGTGTATGGAGTAATTGAAACAAATACATATATGAATGCGCTTTGGGCATGTTTGGATGACATTTAGTTCCATCATGAGTATATTTCTTTGTCTAATATTATTATATATTCTGTAATACGACTTATGTAGTTGTTTGGCAGATGTTTAGTGAGAAAAAATAGCTTAGGGAATAGTGTTTTTTGGAAAAGGTAAGGATGAAACTGTCTATGGTATGAGGTAAAATAGATACGGCAGAGAGAGAGAGAGAGAGAGAGAGAGAGAGAGAGAGAGAGAGAGAGAGAGAGAGAGAGAGAGAGAGAGAGAGAGAGAGAGAGAGAGAGAGTAGAGTAGAGTAGTAGTAGTACGTAGTACGTACGTACGTACGTACGTACGTACGTACGTACGTACGTACGTACGTACGTACGTACGTACGTACGTACGTACGTACGTACGTACGTACGTACGTACGTACGTACGTACGTACGTACGTACGTACGTACGTACGTACGTACGTAACGTA